TTCCTGACGATGAAGCTGTAGAAAGGGAAGTCACCACCTGGTTCCAACAGCAGCCCAAAGAATTTTATGCTGCTGGTTTTCAGGGGGCTTGTGAAATGATGGGAAAAGTGCCTCAATGTACAGGGAGATTATGTTGAGAAATAAAAGCATTTTTCAAATCAGTATTCTTTATTTGTTTAAGTTCTATATCCATTTGTAAGTTACTTATTGACTTACCTATGTATAAAAGGTAAAGTTGTCCCTGTGTTTAATGGCTAATAGATGTGTTCGATGAACATCAGGACTGAAGCAAAAATGATGTTAAGACATTTGGGAAACAGTGCTGCATGTATCCAACAACTGATTGGAGGAATCTCATCTGCTTTGAATATTTATGTTTCTTCCTCAGGTGTCATAGGTGTGGAGAATGAATATATGAGGGAAATATGTAGTAGGTGGGAAAACAGTTTTCCATAAGTGATGCAAATATTTGCACTCTGCAATGCCTGGCACTTTTCAAGTTCCTGGGATGAAATGTGTAAATACAGACATAAGGATTAACAGGATTTTCCACTTCTGTATCACTGAGGCCAGATTCAGACTTCTGAACTGAATGGTGTGAATTTAATTAAAAAGCATTTGTCATATGCAGCAGAATGTTAATTTTCATCGTATAATTTAATTATGCATCAACTATAGCCTGTGTGTTAATTTCCATACATTAGAAAGATTGTTCTGGATAAGCGCTTACAGGATTCCAAGAGAATGGGAAAGAACTGTGTGCAGTGTGAGTGCAGACTTAACACATTTGGCAGGACTTATAATGACATCCAGGCATCCATTATCAAGTATTTATTGACATAAGCTCGACTATTTTAAGTATTTACTCACAAAAGCTCAAAGGAGCATTTATGCTCTTATGTTAATTATGTGTCATTAAATATATATTTATATACAGCCACATTTAGCCTAAAAAATGTGGTAGAAGCTTCGTTTAATTGTAGAAAATAAGAGACTTCGTTTATCTTCTCTTTTGTTCGAATAACCTTTGTTGATTACTTAAGTCTTCATGTGTTTGATTACTATATAACAGAAGTTAGGAAACGCAGGAATAGAGGAACAATTAACCTCACAAATCGCAAGACTTAACGGAAAACTACGCGGAGAATGAAATACAAATTTCAAGTTTTTCGGTAACTTTTGTTCGCAACATTTTTCAGTTCCCTGAGTATTCACGAAGTTATTGTCACTATCGTCACTATACTTGCGCCAACATTTTTTTTTGTCATTTACTTATCTGACTAAACCAAAATTGGTCTCAACATATTTCAGTAAAACTCCCCAATATCAAATTTCATGGACGTCTCTTTCTGATTCTCGAGTTGTTTAATGGGTATAGGCGGACCAACGGACAGACACTGCGATTTTAATATAGTCTACTTTATAGCATCCGCAGTTTCTTTCAAGAGACCTAACATTTGAAATAGCAATTAACATTAAAACATCATGTCCATGCATGTTGCGCAACATCATGATATTCTAGAATTTCGTATGTTGGTGCTAATGCCGATCGTCACTTCTTCCCAGAAACCATTGCGCCAATCTTGGCCGTGAAGGCTGGCTTCGTATGTACTGAAGAGCAACATGTTTATGAGTTTTTGTGATATTTTATTTATATGTCAAGTATTAAATATACGTGGGCCTCTACCTATATTGAACTGTTTACCATCTTGATTAAGTGTACATTTTAGACCGGTTAGAAATTCCGGAAGAAGTCATGCCGAAAGGAAAGCGAAAGGGAAAGTCAGGTGAGTGTCATGCTTTCAAGTCCTTGGGATAGAAATAGCACATTATGGCCGTTAAGTCCACGTTGTGCAGATAACGTGATATAAACACATGGAATTCCATTTTTTGTGAGTTCAGTAAATTCTGTGTTGCAGGAACATGTCTAAGAACTGGTCCATAAACACTTTTGAAAGGAAACTACGTTGTTAGAAATTTTAAAACTGTTCACATATTTCTTGTGACCTTTTGACATTTAAGGCATTTAGAGTTTAACGGAATTCGTTATAGTTTTAGCACTGCACATTACCCATAAATATGATAGGAATTTTGTGTGTTAAATGCTGTAGACATATTAATAGTAACTGTTATGTTGAATATTTTTGTATTATTCAACAAGATTCACACCATGCAGTTATAGTCTGCATCTTTGCCTTCTCACTAATGAAGGAATGAATATAATAGTCTTATGTATAACTTGCTGAAAAACTAAGAAATTTAGGACTACATCAATTGCCTGTGGAAGTTATGGTAGGTATGGAGAGAGTGTGTCAGAACTTATACAGTAATAACACATGTTTTGAAATGAACATCGTATTGTAATAAGACATCTTAATGTGAGGTTGTTATTGTATAAAATGTTGGAAAATATTACGTTAGGTGAAAATATATTTTGATACTTTCATAATAATAAAAGGCAACAATATAGAATGTGCATTACTGTCCTCATCACACACCTCCAGCAGAAGAGAGAATGCCATTTACATTTTGAGTTCTGATGTCATAGTAACAGAGTAATACAGAATGAGAAGTAGGAGCAGATGCATAATCCTTGGTGAGGGAACACTGTTGGGGCCAGGCACTCTGTAGAACAGAAGTAATGGAAATAAATGGGAATAATGAAACTGATTACATTACCATGTAGAAAGATAAGGTATGATGGAGAGCATGTCCAGATTTTAAAAGCTCTCATTGTGTGGTGCTTTATCTACCCTTTCCTGCAGGCACTGTCATTCATCTTATCCTGACACTTTATAACCCATGATTCATGCAGGTTGTTAGTAGCCCTGATACTGGAGGAATAAATGACGTATAATATTGTAATGTTTATGAGTGTGACCATATTCAGGGTTTGGATTGGAGATTGGATTTATTGACTGCTTTAACACACGACTCTTTTACTGTACTTATAGCAAGTGTCACGTAACTTCAAACAAGGCCAAGAGTAACCTTGAATGCACAGAAGAAAAATTTCAGACAAGGGGGTGGGTTCGAGGGTGTGAGAAGCGACAGGCGGCCAGTTGTTTGTAAGGCACCTTCGAAGCAGGTTATACTTACGGTTTTTCTATCATCTGTTTAAAATGTCTGTTTTCTTGTGTGCTAAATCGTACATAATGAGTAAGAAATTAGGTCAGGGTATAGGCATAAATTAGTAATACACACTGAACATATTTTTCTTTGCATGACGAGTGACAATATATTTGTATTATTGTAATATGTTCTTCGAAAAGAGAATAAGGTAGTTTCAGTGAAACACGAGGGGTCGGTGAAAGTGGAAGAACGAGTGTTAAGAAACTCCTCCCACCACAAGCTATGCGCGGGATTTGACTAGGAATGCAGGGCCTTGTTCGAAGTTACGTGACACAGTCTATAATTCTAGCACCATCAATAATCTCCACACTTTACAAATCACTACAGCATGCGCTAAGTCTTTTCAGTCTGCTGTGTCTTCACCAGTTGTTCCCAAGTGGTGGCTCGCGAGTCTGACTCGGGTTCCAATGAGCCAGACTCGTCCGTGTGTGGGTCACAAGGTTGGGAGTCAGCTCATGCATTTGTGGTGAAATTAATCTGAGCCTGGCTCATGAGTCAAGCTCGCCGAGCCAGACTCGTACATGTATGGGCCCCTTAACAGTGGAGATTCCTCAGCTTCCATGCTTGCTTCATTGTCTGCTGGATCTCAACTGCACCAACTAAGTCTTCTCCAACAGACTCCCTTATAACTCTGTATGAATTCTTGCTCCGGTTGTCCCCCTTATAACATCAGCACAGATTGTGTAAATAACAGCATTCATTGTTGTACTCCAGTCATTTGAGAACGTGTGTATGCAAAAGCATTGCTCAGTAATGGCTGCATATACTTATTAACGCTTTGACTGGCGCGAAGGGTATTTAAATCCCACCCCTGTCCTGGCAGGCCCTTTAAACCTTATGTCGCTAAAATGCATGTTGTTACTTTTTCCTAAACAACTTCAACAAAAATTTGTTTTTAAAAACGAAAATTTTTGGAACTAATTAAAATACAATATTTTATGCAATAAATGCTTTTCCACACCTCTTTCTTTGTTTTTCTTCGTGTGATAAACATTGAAACATGAAAGTTTGCAGAGAGTCACACCACAGCCTGCACACATGATACTTGTTTCTTTTCTAACCTTGTGATTAGCACTCACGCGACACTTTCTCAGGGCACCATTCTTCTTATTGTTACTGTTAGGAACATGGACCATTTTGTGAATTTTCAAGCCACCCTCTAGACGATTTGCTGTCTCTTTCACTGTTGGTCTTTTCAAGGTTGAGGGCGGAGGCGTGACTGCACTCTAGTCGGACCCAATAGATTCGTCATCCAATTCATTCCTTGACTTTTCTCCCTCTCCACACTGTTTGTTTGGTTCAGTCATTTTTCTACACAGTCCAATATAAAATCTTTGAATCTGTAATTTCTCTTCTTGTATTTTTCGTTTGTTGTGTTCTTTTTGAATAGAATGAAACTATTCAACCGCAAAGACATGTTTTGTCCAAACCATGGGTGTGAAATATGGGCCTAGTGGACAAATATTCTTCAATTTCAGGGCGTTTGTCGATTCCTGTCATGAACACAATTCCTAAGTATGTCCAGATTTCATCTGATGTGACATAATTGTAATTGTGTTTTCGAGAGTGAGGAGCTAACTCATGTGCGTTGAAGTGCTGGTGAGCATAGCGATTGGTTTCAGTTGTGATGTGATTTACCAAGTCGTCATCCAGAAAAAATTTTAATCCATGAAAAGGGATGCATTTTATGTGTTATATCAATTTTGATCCCGAAACTATTAGCAAATGGAAATATTGGGGGTACAATGTCTCCGTACGTTCATGAGATGGGCGTGTCAGGCACCGCACTCATGGTAGGTAAATGTTCATGATTACTGTCTTGTGGATCATTGCCTATCACTGTATTACTGTCACTATCAACTTCATCCAATTCAGGAATCATTATTTCATCGCCACTATCATCATCAGAAAAAATCTCGTTCACAACATTTTCCAGCTGGTCTGTAGGAACACGAAGACACATGCTGCAAGAAGCTATGGTGAAACTGAATGAATGTGAAATATTTTCTGACCTTTACCTTCTCAGAGGGTTCTGACAGTAATATAGACCCCCACAAAGTTTACAAGGGTTCTTTACAAACATGCACAAAAACTATCATATATATGTCTTTGGTTGATGAGTGCCAAGAGAGCAAAGAAGGGACGAGATTGTCAAAGCGTTAAAATACGCCAACGCCAGGGAACGGCTGGCATCGTCCGGGCGTTAAAACACGCCCGCGCCAGTCAAAGAGTTAAGAATCTCTTGCCTAGCAGTAGATGTCATTTTGTTGTTTGTTTTGAGGTTGTTACCCAGTAACGGGCGTACACGCTACAATATATAGAATGGGCAGTACTTCATTGTTCTCATCATGTGCTGAACTGCATAAGATGTTTATCCTTCACATATGGAAACATACAAGCAAGGAAAGAAATATGTAATTAAAAATACTCCTATATGTAAAATTAATTAATCCACGTTGTTAAATATTAACATAAAATGTTGCCACAAGGCTCCCTGTTTGGGAGCATATGTGTTGATGATCTAAAAATGTCATTTAAGGTTGGCATGTCTGAATTCTTAGGTAGCTTCTCAAAATGATGCATGTCATCTGGCTAGCTGAAAGGAACAGGAACATTTATGTCTTGCTGAATGCCTGGCCAGATAGAGGGATAGGCACAACTCTGAACCCATTTCAGTTCAGGCAGATTCGTTATATGCCAGATCATCGCATAAAGGTGCACTTTAAAGTGCACTTTTCAACCTGACTCTCTGTTTCAATGAAAACTGCTTGGTTTGGGGACTCCATACAGATAGTTTTTTGCACAGTTCTTAACCCATTGTCTTCCAAATTTTATGGCTCAAGGGCACAAAAATTTTAAAGAAATAGCATCATTTTGACATGTTATCTCTACCAAAATTTGTATTATTTGTTATGTACAAGCAGCAGAGCTCATGTGGCAGATGTTTGAAAGGTAATTAAATGCTCGTTTAAATCACAAAATGGGGTAGAGTAATGTCGCTTTCATTGTTACCTCTTGTAACTTTTTCAAATAACGCCCTTTCAGACAAAGTGGCCTGATTAGTCCGTCGTCTCTGCATTTCTTCTTCAACGGTTATACTCTTGCACCACTATTCTTGGTGGAGTGTCTTTGCTCTTGGTTTTTCTCTTACCTCTCGTCGGATCTGAACTCCCACAGATCTGAACTGTCCTGTTCTGTCACAATCTGTCCTCTTAAGTAGATCTTAATGTACTGCTGAGAGAACACCTTGTCAAAGGGTTTACTGTTTCCCATGTTAGCTAGAATATTCGTGAGTGGGTCTGTTCGTTGCCTAGGAATTGCTAGCTGTTGACTAGCAATAGATGCTGGTTGTCAGCTCAGTGTCTTGACATTGCATTACCTAGGAAGTGGCACTTCTCTATGCAGTGGGTTCACATGTCACACACAGTATGGACAGGCTACAAAGTAGTTACTTCTGGGACATTATTTGCCCCATCTTTTATACAGCAAGTCTTCCTGACATAAATAAATGTAGTAATATTATCATTTGTGTTTGTTAAAATGATGAGTAGTTTCTCTTGTGCTTTAGCTTTTCAGTTGTTAACTGTGTTTTGGCAGTTGTTAAATTATCCATCATTCTTGTGGCTGCTCTTGGATCTACGTTCATTGAAACGTCTGACAAAAGAATGTTCAGCATGTCTGGCCATTCAAGATACACATAGCATGGTGATGGATCATGAGCATGGAGAAAACTGGTTGTCACTTTCACTGAGTTCTCATTCGTTGTGATAACATATCCTAATAGCCAGACTTACACACAATACAAAACCTTTTGTGTCATCATCTATCAAGTTTTCTTGCAGCTCTGTTAAATGACATTCTTCAGATGGCTGAGTTAGAAAATATCTTCACAGTATTTCTTATTCTTAGAAGTGCAGGAAGGTGAATGCTTTCATGTGTTGGTTTAGCTGTTATATTTATTTTGCATATAAGCTTTTCATCTCTGACTTTTAGTTAAGTAACAAGATCAGAGTTCTTGGTTTTTATGTTGGTTTGGCCTAGTTGAACAGTTGTCTTGGAGTTATGATTTGATCAGTTGCTGCAATTGCACCCTTGCTTCATGCCTCTTTATAGTGCCTCTTGGGATGTTACATACACTCTTGGCATGTGAAGTGGCAAAGGGAATTCCATTCATCTGGAACTCAAAAATCTACTTCATGTTATGTCAAATTCGAGAAGTTTTTCATTATATTGTGCTGCTGACCCACGTGAGAAACTGTCTTGTCCAGACAGGCAGGTTTGTTCTGAAGAAAATTAATTATATCTGAATTAGGTTAACAGCAGTAGTGTCTTGTGCAAAATAGTCAGAAATTGTTATTAAATTCAAACACTTTTTTTTTAAGTTGGTTTTTTGATGACACTGTCAGTGTTTAGATTATATAGTGTCGATCAGTCTGTAATAAGGAATGCTTCTTCTTCAGCATGTCGCACACCATGCATTCAGTTTTTAAAGATGGCATTTTTGGCATCATCGATTTACATACGTTACTTAGGTCCTTCTACAAGTAATGTATTTTTCTTTAAATGGGTTGCAACACAGTAGGTATGTATATTGGAGATAAATCCTTTCTCATAAAACGTTTAACCAAAATAATACGTAGCACTGTGTGTAGTTAATGTACAAAAGTATTCACTGTTGTAATTAAACAGTAGCACTTGACACTGCTATGAAAGTATAGGTTAGCATATCCACAAAAATGCCTGTATTGTTGTCTTAGTTGTGTAAGTACTTCAGTAATTATTTGAAGGTGTATTTATAGTTCTGCAGCAAGCTGTTAAGGAAATTGTTAAATGGTTATTTTCATTCATGTTGCTCTTTGACCCCTTAGTTGTATGGCTCTTTCCTTTGACANCTGCTTTCTTCATAATCTAACCTACTTGAAAGCCTCAAATCTTACATAGGTTAGATTAGGTATAAGATGTATGTATGCGTCCTGTCACTGTCAGTGTTCTAAATTTGTGAAAAGAAACTTGGCATGGAAAGGGTTAATACTATATGAGATTTGTATGCTAGTGACATTGAAAAGAAAGCAAAACAGTAATTTGGTCAATTTGAATTATTTTGCCATTCTATTCTGAATCTGGTTTTGTTCTGTATTCTTTATTAGCATCTGTTCAGAAGTCTCGTGCAGACACAATTGGGATAACATCTGATGAAGATTCCATCAATGACAATGCAAGTGTCATCAGTATTGTATCAGAAACAAAGAGCATCATTGAAGAAGGTGAGTTGTTACTCCTATGATCCTCAAGTTTCTGTTTTCTGGCTTTCCCCTATCACTTTTCCCAGAAAATACAGTGAAGTCCCAATTTTTTTTATTTATGTGTTTATTGAAAATTTGTTGTGGTCCTAGCCAAAGCAATATAAAAAACGTATGTTATCCCATATAGTGCATTCCTGTTTTTGAATAACCTGCATTTAGTGTAAAAAACTAGAGTTTCTAGAACATGTACATAAATTTAGTGCAACTGTGGCCTAAATGACAATTGACATTTACATTTTCTCTGTACTGGAAATTGTTACCACATGACTATAATTTCTGGGAAATTACATCACATGTTGAATACGCTACAGCCTCAACAGCATCATAGTTACTTTGATTCTCACTTGAAGTTCTTGTAATACTTGTTTTATTTGTCATTATTTGATTTAGAAATTTGATGTCACTGGTTGTGTAATTTTAATTGCATTAGGCCTTCTGTTTAATGACTTATCCAAAGAAATTATTTTATCATTGTTGTGTATGGTAAGTACTAGATGCATTTTATCATAACCCCTGTTAGTGTAAAAGAAACCATTCCCTGTGAGATCATTAAATAGGGATTTTGTTTTATAGTGTTTTGCTATGAAAATGCAGAAACATATCTAACATGGATCTGACATAGACCCTGAAGTTTTACTAGTGACACACCATTTTATGAAAGGACATTACTGTAAAGTAGTCTGACAGTGTAATTGTGATGCTTGCCATGGATAGCTCAACTGGTATATGACAGCTATGGGCTGCATGACCAAGTTTAAGTCCCAGTAGGGTCAAGAATTTTCTCTTCTCCGCATTGTCCAGACTGGCTCTGGGGATTCTTTCCTAGGTGTTAAGCGGACGGGGCATGAAGCTGACCACTCACCACCAGCTAGTGCCAAGCTCAAGAAAATGTGGATCTATATAGCCACGCCCGCATATGTCATAATGGCATAGTGCTTAATTAGTTAAGCACAGGGAAAGCTTTACCTTACCATGGACTATAGTGTACCAGGAATATAAATTCTGCAGGTGAAACTCTGAAATGTGTTGCAAGTTTTGCTTTCATGCATTCATTCTGTTTTATAGAATGGGTTCATAAATGGGACACAGATGAATATCATCATGTAATAAAAGGTAAAGTTATTTCTGTGCTTTAAGTAATTAAGCACTACGCCGTGAAGATGTGTTTGGGAGTGGATGTATAGATCCATGTATTCTTCACCACAGCACTATTTGGAAATGATTGATCAGCTTCATGCTCCAACTGCTTTAACCCCCCCCTCCAGGAAAAGATCCCCCATTACCACTGGATTGGGTGGGCCCCAGAACCACTCTGAATGGTGAGAGGAGAAGAATCCTGCCCCTTTGGAAAGCTATATACGTAAGGCGTGCGCAGAAGATTGGTCCATGAGTTATGCAAGGTCACTTGTGCCTGTAATGTATACCACTTGTATAAACAGAATATGCAGCTTTAGCGTAATATATGGAGACCCATACAAATACTGACACCTTGCAGATGTTATGGGATTCATGGTACCCCACATAATTGTATTAAACCTTATCTCACGAACAGAGCACAGGAATAATAAATAACTTAAAATATTAGCTGATGAATGATTACCCATTAAACAGCCTACAAATATTATATTTCTGGACTTTTAGATCTTGTCAGACAGACTGTTTGTGAGATTTGGAGTTCCTGGAATCTACCCAGTCTTCTGCTTTTCATCACATTTGCAGTGATTTTCCAAAATTATAAGGGGGCAAGATAGTTATGTATACATACAATGGCTCATTTATAAATTTTGGGAGAAATTTGGAGGAGCTACAAATAGCTGCATCCATGATCCTCAGACAAGCAACACAGTACTTTCAATTACAGTAATGTACACAATGTGCTAAATAAAATAATTTATATTCTGTTCTAAACAAAGGAGAGGAAGTATGACACTAATTTAAATAAAACTTATATAGAAATAAAAAGATTAGTGAAATGTGCTAATATCCTTTGGGTTGTTGTTGATAGTAATATGGCTTGGTGATGCATATTAACACTTTTTGCAATATGATTAGTTCCAATATATTTATAATTAAGATTGTGTAAAATAATTGAACGGAATGTACTCAGAACAATCTGTTGTGGATTATGACAAGTAATATCTTTTATGCTGTGATGCTGTGTGATATGGTAGAAGTTAACTGATGTTTTAGAGGACTGTGCTGGCTCCATCTTCATGGTTGAGGAGTAAGCCAACAAGCATTCTTTTGTTGCTTGCCAATTTGAATGGCATATTGTTCAACTCAGAAGACTGAGCAGAACTATTACAAGGCATCCTATCCCAGAAGATGGTACCCACAGTAGTTGCCTCCCTGAGAACATGGAATCTGAAATATTATAGATTAATTCATTACTGACTTCTGTGTGAAATTATTTTATGGGAACAGTGTTCTAAAATATGAAGTGTTTGTTGTACTGCATGAATGAGCAAATAGATTTCTTGAGTGCTTGAAACAAACAGACCCCTGCTAAGAAAATTGTGTGGGGTTAAAATACTCCTGTGTTCAAGACACTAGGTAGACATTAGTTATAATGGTTTTGTTTCTGTCTCAATGTTCTAGCAATGGCAATTTGGGTTTACCCCAAGCATGAAAGGAACTGGCTGTTATTTATTATAAGTGTTTCAGGTGCCTGTTTCATAGTAAAAGTGAGCAAGTTTCTCATCAGAAATGCCCCCTTTCTGGCTCCTGGCTTTTGGAGGTGGATCTAAGATTACTGGGAAATTTGTGCACACCTGATCATAGTGTTAACAAGAAGGATAATTTATACTCCAGATTTTGGATATGTTCTTTATAATTTTGGATCCCTGTTCTCAATTTTTACTTGTTACAAATTAAATACTATTGGTGGTTATTCATCAGGATTAGAGATAATTAACTGCATAGTCATAAATTCCATTATTGAACAAGCTAATCATTAGTAGCTACTGCATGTCTTATATTGCACCTTCAGGATCAGAGAGTGAGGCAAGTAAAAAGCAGCAAGGAAAGGCGAAGCAATTTCTCGCTTGATTGGTTTAGTACATTTCTCTGAAATGTCTGTAAACTTTAGAAACTGTGCTGTCACATTTCAGATCATAAACAGATATACTTTCTTCATCAAGGTATGTTGTTACGTTGTACCTAATGTAGGCGACCTTACAGAAGAAAAGTTTTGCAGTGTGTTTGAATTTCTGAGCTGTGTATGAATGCTGGAAGTATGTTGAGATCAGACTGTAATAACTTCCTGATGATATAACACTCTGCATCACTGACTGGTGATGATGCACCTTTGTTTGCACTGTAGACAGAATGTAATGTTCTTTGTACTCACAACAGTACGAATGTCATATCTAGTAGCTCATGAATTGTATATTGCTCAATACACACCATACTAAAAGTGTTTAAATAAAAGTTACAGATTTATATTTTATTTAATGTGTACATTTTTGTATAAGGAGGCATTTTTTGATAAAGGGCCCAGTTTTTGTTTCAAGTGGAGTAGGGATTATAGTTGTTAATACACAAAACAACATTAATTTTCATGAGAGTGTTAGATTTAAATTCTGTCTTATCTCGCCATTGACTGTGGGAGAGCATGTATGGGAAAATAAAATTTGCAGTAGAGATGTGAAATGCATACAGAATTTTTGTTGAAAGGTTGAAGGGAATAGGCTACTTGAGAGGTCTGGACATACGTAGGAGGACAGTGTTAAGGTAGATCATAAATGAAATAGTGTGAAGGTGTAGAGTGGATTAAAATGACTTAGGGTAGGGTCCACAGTGAGTTGTGAAAGGTTCGGTGAAGTGAGGAATATTTTGACTAGCTGAGTGACTGTCAACTTTTCAAGGACACCACTGCATTGAGCGGGTTAATTTTGGGAAAGAAACATATATAGACTGAGATGAGAGCAGTGTATATGCTTCATTCAAATAATGTACAAAAAAATTACTTATACAACAGTGTCATGGTGTCTGTTGTGTTTGGTCATCTTCCTACGTGTAGAATTAGATATCTTTTTAAATTATTTCAGGAGGTGATGAGGTGGATGAACAGACACAGGAAGAGGTGTTCGAAGAGAAACTACGAGAGGCAATTGATGGAATCAATCAGAAATCAGCACAGGGCCGAACATCTTCGCTAGAATCTGTTGCCAAAGCTTTTATAAAAAAATGCATACCAGATTTTGTGTCTGACAGGTATTTTTCAGCATCTCAAGTTTAGTGCTTAATATTGTGAGCTGTAAAATGGAATATTAATTAATAAATTATGTGAAAATAAGGCCATGTGGGATATCTGGTGGAGAAAGTGGCGCTGGGGAAGGTCTTCTCAGAGTACTTCAGTTTCCCCTGCCAGTCTTCATTCCACCATTGCTCCACAGTCACCATCATCTATCATCTGAGGCTGGTACAATAGGCCAGTAGTGGCTGCAGTACAAAGTCAACTCATTTTCACCCCAATAAGAATAATTAAAAAAATAATGTGAAAATAACCAAAATGCAGGTAGGAGTGCAAGAGGAATTACATGTACTTGCATGGACTAAATTGAAAGAATGCTGACTCTGTAAAATCTAATCTTTTCTGAAAGACCAAATATTGCTGTCAAGTGGATAGCACTCCTGCTCTATACTGTGTATGTTCCAGATTCCAATACTGGCCTGGAGACCAGTTATCCTGACTGGTTTTGTTAGTCCCTCTAGGAAAATTCTGGGATAGTACCTCAAATTAGGTCACAGTCATTTTCTTGTCCTTTCAGTTCATTATGTAGTAATCATAAACCTACTATTTTATGTTACAATAAAACCCCAATTTAAAATCTGTCTGGAGTACAAGCTTTTTATACCCTAATTTGGGGTTTTGGAAAACAACTGTTAAATTCAGGCAAATCAATAAGGTATTGGACCTCATTTGTTTGATAAAATAAAAGTCTTTCAGTTTCTCAGAATGTACCCCATGCCAATTTTCCTCTTCAAGAATTGAAGCTTTACACAGAGTTGTTACTTGATGATGGCAGCACAGATGCATCCTACTTTCATTTTGTGACGCAGTTGGATTCTTTGTACCTTCTGAATAATTATCACTTTCTCTCTTATTATTAACTTTTTTCTGTTCAATGTTATGGCCAGTCATTACTTCAAAATCACCCCCCAAAAAGCTAGAGGAGTTGAACACATCACAGACAGAAGAAGCCGTAACAACTCCCAACTGACACAGAGGATGAACACAGCAAGAGAACTATGCTGCATTGTATGCTGTGCAAATGATGATGTTGAATTACCCAACGGTGGCCATGCAAACAAATATCCATCAGTCATAGAACGAGATCCAAAGTATGCGCAGGAATCAATTTTTCATATGTGAAATATGAGTAAATTCTTAAATCGAAGAAGATAAATACAGAAGGCTTATGGAGCTTTATTTGGGACCAGAGAAATATGTGCTTTAGGCTGAAAACTCACTGGCGTGACTAGTCGTGAGCAGTTAGCTGCTGTTTGTCGCGTGCATCCATTAGTTGTACATATTAGGCGTGGGACAGCTCTGCTGCCTGTGTGCCCTGTCCCAAAACTTAACTGTGCGTGCCTCATAAAAGCAATACAAATAACGGCCGCGAGCGACAACACTCGACAAACCACGCGCGGCTTGTCGTGTCAGTGGGTTTCAGCCTTAGTATGGGAAGATGTAAAATGTGGGTCTCTTAACTGGGGGTTCTCTGTATATAGTCTGAGTTCCTGACAGATCATTAAATAAATGTTATGCAAATGGGACAGGTAGGTGGTCGATTAGATGACACCATCTAGAAACTTGACACTTTCTGTTGTTTAGTTCTGCTGAATGGTGTTTTTAATGCCTCTATTTAGGTCTCATAGGAAATATTTTCCTTTGTAGACGCCTGACTCTGACAGATGGAATTGAGCGGAGTTTGAAAAAAGGTCGAGGATCAGAACAGGCAGCAGCAGCGCAGTTAGCTCCTTTGCTTTGTGTCCAGCTTGGGGCCGGAGATGAAGCAGAGGAAGTATACAAATCATTGGCACCTGTACTGTCTGTAGTGGCGCATGATACAGCAGCCTCTCCTCAAGCAAGAGCAAAGGTAATGTAGCCATTTGAAATCCTGTTAGTATGTTTCTTATTTGAATATCTTCATGTTTGTCCTATGAATTTTTGATACCCTTGAATATTCTGCATCTTCACAAATTTGTTAACGCAGTTTCTTTGTCAGGGCAGTTTTTATTCTTGGTTTTATGAGGATCATATTAACAAATTTGTACTGTTCACTTGTTACTGTCCAGGAATAGGGAATTTAAAGTATTCTGATACTGTGGTACTGGTTGCCATGTTTTGTCTTTGGGGTAATGGTATTACTCCTGAGTGTATAAAAAAATCAACATTTGGCCAGCTGGACTGTGCATATATGCTATTACAGTAATAACCTATGGTCTGTAAATGTTGACACTGGAAATAACCTGTGGAGAAATAGATTGTGTGTATGTGTATTAACAGTTTTATTTATGTATTGATGTCTGAAAATGTACTTTTGACACTTAAAAGTTTCTTGAAATGACATGAATGACTTCATCATCACTGATTGTGCATGAACGTGTATCCGAAAATGTCAGTTTAAAAGTAGTAAAGTGGTCAGATGTCAGTCTGGATTAGCAGTTAACAATGATGTGAATTTTAAAATATGGAGGTGAGTAACTTTTATATTTCCATGATTTATTCTGACCATCTTACAGTGCATACATTTATTCACCTTACTCTTCTCTCTTGCACTACATGTTTCAGCACTAAAGTGCCATCTTCAGGTGCTTTTCTATGTACGTTGAACTACTTCATTGCATGCCCTGTTGACAACATGTAGTGCAAGAGAGAAGAGTAAGGTGAATAAATGTATGCACTGTAAGACAGTCAGAATAAATCATGGACATAAATCAGTGCAACAGGACGCTAAAATATAACAAAACTTTTATATTGATCAACAATTTTTTGTTTGAGGAAATGGCATCAAAACATGAGATTACCCACAAAACAAGTGGATGCTTAATCAACTGTTATAAAATCTGCTTTGTGTAGAACTAACTTTGGATTTTCCTCCTCAGTAAGCCTTGTAGTTTTCTTAATTTTCACTATATTTTGTACTTATGATTACAATTTCAGAATTAAAGTTTCTAAAATATATAATGCAGTATGAAATAATTTATATTTATACCGTAGTGCTGCTGGGCACTTGGCTTATGCATTTTCCTATCTGGGGGAGAGATGGCTGATGTTATTCAATTGATGGAGTCACTAGAAACAATCTTCTCTGGATCATATCTGAAAGGAAATGGAACTGTGCCAGTAGTATCTGCAGATTTGGCATCACTGCATGCTGCTGCCCTTTCAGCGTGGAACCTTCTCCTGACACTTATGGCTCCTGATGACATATATGTGCTAATGTCAGAGGACACTGACGTGTTTGCCCCGTGAGTCATTTGTTCAGTTTGTACCTAGTCTAATTGGATATCTATAGTGGTGAAAAGAGCAACAGATTTTTTATGTTCACAAATACATAGAACTGTGTCAGTATGACCTCATGGCTTTTTCTTATAGTGCACTGTGTTGGCTTTCATCATCTTCTAGCGTTAATAGTAAGCTTTGGAAAATGCAGTTCCCACTGCCACCACTTTTTCAACCACAAAACACCCAGGACAAATTTCATTTTAAATGATTTTATTAAATTACTTTGTAAACCATAGGCATTGGTAATCAAGATTCATTTATATGTTTATAGAGTCTTTGTTAGATGGCTGAAACTTCTGGGTTCTTAATTGTGGTTTTACTATACTGTTAAAATAAGAGTTGCAGGCTGTGTATGAGAAAAATTTATTTTAAAGCATAGTTTTTGAAACCTTTGACTGATTTTGTTTGTGTAATTATTTTTTTGTAAAGTTCGTAAGAGTTCGTAGGGGTCACTAAATGTGACATTTACTAGGTGGTTCAAATATGACCAGGACTGATTTAAAAAAAAAAACATAATTGCCAAACACTTACTTGCGCATGTCAGTCTTCAACATACTCCCCTCCAGAGTCAACACATTTTTTCCAACTTTCTGGAAGCATCCTGATGCCCCCCAAAAAAAGACTTGTGGTTGGCGGCGTATCCACTCCCGAACAGTCTGGATGATGGCGTCGTCCACAAACCACATGCCTTGCAAGTCTGATTTGAGCCTTCCGAACAGGTAGAAATCACTTGGGGCCAAATCAGGACTGTACGGCGGATGTGTCAGAAGGTTCCATTTCAATTTCCGAAGGGTTTCCATTGTTTTGGCCGTATGGGGGGGCGTGCATTGTCTTGAAGGAAGGCTACCCGCCTTCCACCTGTCTTCCGCTTGGATCGGATCTTACTCCAAGTTCCTTGATAGTGATGCGCCTATTCTCACGAATAAGCACGTCTACACGATCAATGTTTGGCTCGGTGATGGATGTTCGTGGCCAATGATCATGCGGTTCATTCTCCACGCGCTCTCTGCCCTCTCTGAAGCACTTACACCACTCAAACACACGAGTCCGTGAGAGACACACTTCCCCATACTGTTGTTGGAGTCTGTGGTGAATTTCAATGGACTGGACGTTTTCTCCAACGAGGAATTTGATCACAATGCGTTGTTCCACGCTCCATGGTAGCTTGTGTACTCTCATCACTCTAGCAACTTCCAGACAGGACTGAACAGGTTCTAACCCTAACAGGAGGGAGGGTGGAGGTTGTGGCTTCACTCTCGCAAGGTCACACAGCTGCTGAGAAGTGCAGCTTGTTTACAAAAAAATCAGTCCTGGTCATATTTGAACCACCTTGTAAGTTTTTAAATAACTGTCTGTGATGTATAGAATTTGGTTTTCTTTCAGTCAAATATGTCAGCTCTCTGAACTACTGGATTCATCTCATTTGGATGTGCGAATGGCAGCTGGAGAGACCATAGCTCTGGCATACGAACTTGGCCGTGAACATAACGATGATTTCCAAAGAGCAAATACACCACAGCTGGCAGATAAGTTGCGGCAGCTTGCTACTGACTCTCACAAGTACCGAGCCAAGAAAGACAGAAAACAGCAGCGCTCAAGCTTTCGTGACATTCTACACTATGTAGAAGTGAGTGCTGTAGGGATTATGCTGTAGCTGTAGACTTGGATAATGTGAAAGTGTCCAATAATTTGAATTTTCGCCATGAAGAAGAGTGCATTAAGTATAAAACTTATTGCTTGGCAAGATGTGATTCATTTGTCACAGATTTTCACTTTTTGCTCAAAATACATTGAAATCCCAATTTAGTGTACCTGCATGTAGTAGACTCCTATATTTAGTGAATAATTTTGCTGTTTCACATCAACCCTCTTCTAGCATTCTGATAGATTTCAGAGCAGTAGTTTTAAATTCTAGTTGAACCAGACAATAACAGATATATTGTTACCATTAATTTATGAATCGGAATAAGGAGTTCCATCACCTTTCAGCTGAATTCCATGGATTTATTTGGGCTACATTAATGTCATTAAAGAAATACTTACAGCAGCTATCCCTGTAACAGGCCCTGGAGGCCCATAGGGTTGTGAGATGTTGAGGGTCCCACAGTTTCTAGACAGTCGGCTCACAGATGGTGGTAAGGTTGTCAGCCTTATGCGCCGGCCGCCCTTTACCCTCCAGGAAGATTCCTGGTGCCCATTTTTCTTAGAGGCTGTGTCGACCCCAGGCCATAGTGTGGCTGGAAGGATTAGGTAAATTGAAAAACCCACCTCATCAGATCTTGAACCTGCGACCTTCTGGCTTGTAACATAGCGCCTTAAGCAACTACACTACCACATGCCCCCCCAATACTTAACAGCAAATGAAGAAATTTACAACATGAATACTTACGTAAGAATGTGACAGTGGGACTTCATATGAAAAAATGGGATGAATTGGAGCCCTAAATTAGAATGATCAAGTCAAGGAGGATGAGGTGGGCCAGGCATGTAGTACGAATGTGGGAGAAGAAGGATGCATATACGATATTGGTGGGAAGGGAAGAGGGAAAGAGGCCACTAGGACGACCAGGACGAAGGTGGGTGGCCAATATTAAAATGAATCTTAGGGCCCCCATACACACACAGTTTGGCCTCCAGTTCGGCCTGCACAGTTGAAGACTGAAAGGCAAAACTGACGTATGTGGTGTGGCCAGCCGGCCAATCGTTTGGACTGTTGGCCTGTGGGAAACCCGTCAGTCCGTCAGTTCTGCCTGCAGGACTTTAGCACATGACGTGTGTGACTCAACATTATAGGCTGGAAGACCGTGACTGTGGCATGAAGCCTGCTGCTTTATCTGCGCGTGTATGGGGAGGAAAGGGAGGGGTAAACTGTCAGAGTTTTGCCTCTAATGTCTATCTGAAGGCCAAACTGTGTGTGTCTGGGGGGCCTTAGAGAGATAGGATGGGATGGTATGGACTGGATTGATCTTGGCTCAGGATAGGGACCAGTGGTGGGCTCTTGTGAACATGGTGATGAAACTTTGGGTTCCATAAAATGCTGGGAAGTTTTTGAGTGACTGCACAACTGGTGGCTTCTCATGAAGGGCTCAGCTCTGTGAGTGAGTGAGTGAGTGAGAGAGAGTGAGAGTATGACATGTTGATTTTCCTGTAATGCAGGGTGAAGCAACTGCCATGTTGCGGTACTGTTTTGTAGGTAAACTGAGATTTGGTTTCTAATATCTTAGATGACTGAATGCAGTAGTAAAGAAATTCAGGTTTTTTACAGTAAAATGTCCAAGTGTTTCTAACCTTATGACTCCTGACATACATTAAAGAGTGCTTTTTGCATTTGAGAAAGAAAAGTAGTTTTAGGCACTTGTACGTAGTACTAAAATTGTTGTTATTGTTGTATGATACTTGTGTTTGTGAAGTAATGCCTTTAATTCCAGGATGACGATCCACCAGACATCCAGGTGAGATTTGGCCAAGAAATTTTGGCACTTGATTCATGGTGTCGCAAGAAACAGTATGATGCATTCTGTCAGGTGAGTTTCCTTGGGCATATAAAACAGGAAATAATTAAGTTAATTAGCATATTCCATGTATAACACCGTTTTGGAAGAGTTTCAGAAGTTTAAAAAAAAAATTGATTCATGTATTCAGTCGCAGAAAAACAGAAACATCAAGGTCAGCAGGCCAGACATGCCTTTTTTTTTTGTTGTTGTTGGTGCATTATATTCTTCAACATGTGTCTCACACAGGACATGACTCATGTAATATTTGCAAAGGCTTGGTTGAAATACAGTTCCAGTATTTCCACAATAAGTTCTCCAGAGGACGGTTCCACACAGCCGCTGGCCCAGATGTGTTACCTCTCACTACAGGGACAATCCAGAGGAACAAACAAAAGCACAAAAAACAAAACAACACATACCTGTAGATCATAGTGGAACACATAATCTGAGTACCGGCAGAAGATAATACGTACATGAGAAGTTGAGTCTTTACAAGGACCAGAAAAGCAAGAGACATCGACATTATTTGGAACACCACTACGATGTAAACGAGATAAAAACATTTTTAACGTTTTACATTTTAATATTTTTAGCATAATTTTATGCAAGAGATTATGACCCTTAAGACTGTGGTGTAAACTTTGGTCATTATAGGGAGAAAATAGCAGAAAAATAAAGGTGGCTGTAGAAGACTGTATTACCTGATGATGGCCAAAAAGACCAAAATATTCTCTAATGTATAATATAGTAGTAATTCTCCCAACTCTCTAGGTTTTCCATCTAAAATTTTTCCAGTGGTGTGCTAAATATCCTGCCCATCTTTTTTTCTTTTGTTTGATTACTTTAATAATATTTTGTGAATAGTAAACAAATTGCAAAGGGCGTTCATGTTTCTCCATCATTCTGTCCCATCCCTGGATTCAGACATTCTGCTCTGTGGGCTGTTGTCACACAGTCAAAACACTCTCAATCTTTTTTCCATTGTGAAAGTGAGAGATCAAGTTTCACATCAGTATAAAGTATAAGAGGGTACTGAGTTCAGAATTTGTAGATTTTAAGCTGTATTTGGAGTTGATTATTGTTTGATTTCTCATACTGCATTTCCACCAAGAACCTTAATTTAAACCATGTCTTTCTGTTTCCTATTTCTTCAGGTTCTGGGATCAGGGATGAACTTGCATCTAACTGAAAATGACCTAGTACGGGAAATTTTTGAGCTGGGTGAGAGGTTGTCTCCACCGTACTATGCGGCAAATAAACAGACAAAGCATGAACGGGTAAGTTTGAGCAGAGACCTTCATAATAGGATTTTCTAAATGAAGACAGCGTGAATTATCAGGAAAAGATGTGAAATCAGTATTTTTTCATCTCATGTATATGAAAATCTGTGGAGGTTTCAGATTTCTGCAGTTTTCATAAAGACACCTTCCCCCTTACCCTCTTTAGTCTGTGCCAAAAGTATGCTCATTGTAATAGTTTAGGTTCTCATGGCAATAACTGAAGATGACTGTCTTCTGAGATGTGATAGTGTCTAGTGTAATTAATATTTACAGACATTTTGGTTGAACATGCTTCCTTCATATTCTGCTGAAATGTCGGTAAATATCAACCAGAGAACATAATTTACATCCCAGAAGATAGTAATTATCACAATTTTTTTAAGGGAAGGTCTGGCTAAATAAACAGTCTTGTATTTGATGTCTTCTTGGTTCCAGCACATGATGAATTCAGCAGCTTTCAAAGCCAGGACATTGTCTCGGAGCAAACATCGCGACAAGCGCTCAGCTGTCATGGCTTGCTAAGACTTTCTCCTTCCCATGGCATGCTTAATTTATCTCCTATTTGAAATGTAACGATCATAATATTTGGAACTTAGACTGGTAAATTATCAAATTGTAATTATGGGCAGCAACTTTATATGTATCAGTAAGGTACTGTTCTGTTAGACAGTTTATAAATTTTGAAAAATTATAGTTAACTTTCCATGATAGTAATTTAGGTAGGGGAATCAGTAACTTGCAGTTGAGATTTGGTGTAGAAAACTGTTAATGTGCCATGTATACAAAATCTGAACATGTAGTTTTGAATTGTAAACTCTCATCAGCTTTATTGAGTTAGAAATGTTCTCATTTGCTGACTTCCTTAGGTTTTTAATATACATGTTATGGTTTAAATTTTAATAATAGTGGTATTATTGTAAAAGTAACATTTTTCTGAGACATTCTAATTTGAAAACAAGTTGACCAATTTGCAACAGGTTTTTAATTTACAATGTCTTGTTGGGTTTATTATGATTATTCTGTTATAGATTATTTGCTAATTTATAATATTTTTACTTTAAGAGGGTAAATTTATAACATCCTACAAGTTTAAGAACAGTATTAATTACTGTTACCCAAACCAGGCACTCTGTTTAATAATGTGACCTAATATTTCCTAGATTCATTCTGCAGTACCAAAAAAATTTAAATTATTGTCCATTAGAAGTGGGTAATTGTGTATTTATCTTTGTGTTAAATCTGTGTATTATGTGTTTGGCCAGCTGCTTTTATCTGATTGTTGTTTCTTGCGATATCATTATTGTGGTAGGTAAGACATGTCTAAAATTTGTGGTTTATAAGATTGAATATACTGTGAGGTTTGTATTAGTGTCAGTGTGTTTATTTATAATACTGGAGTTCTTGACATGCAGAAGCATTTTGAAATGAATATTTCAAAACAGTATGATGCTCAACTTTTTTACATTTCATTCTTAGTAGTCTTACAATGAAAACTTCACTACAATTCCCATATTGGGATTATGTAAGTAATATTCTCTTTGAAATGAGCACAGTGAAAATAGAGGCATCTCTTGGAGATCAAGGTGTCATTTTTCTAACATGGTATATTCTGCTCAAGCTAGTGATGTGTTGTACATACTGTATTGATATTGTCGGACGATAGTGTGTCTTGTATCAGTGGTTCTTGACTAAGATATCTGTGTCATTTGAGATCTGTTCTACTTTTATTCATGTGTGTAAGGTACTTATTTTACACCAAACATACAGTTCTTCCAGTGTAGTTTGAGTTTTGTATGTTTGTATATATTAACTAAGCTTTAATTTGAGTTGTGTACATGGTATGTAGCTGATGTATAATTCTTTACAGCTTAATTTACAACATTTTAATATGATTAACATTGTATATTGAGGGCCCAAGTCATATTTTCCAAGCAGAACGCTAAAATGAGTATGGAACAATTGTAGAATGGTGTGGTGCTTCCAGAAATGGTGTTTGCTGTTTGAATGAAGGCCATTATTATCAGTGTCTGGCCAGAGCACCACAGTAAGGTTGGGAACCACTGATGCTTAATAGAGGGGGAACAGGATTTTGAGTCATGTTTAGTGTGTGATATGCAATTACATTGACTGAAGAGGTGTTGGAATATTAATGTGATGTGATGTATTTTTCATATTGTTTTTAGATGTTAAGAAAGTTGTGATATTTAATAGTCAAGTAATGGCTGGGCCATGGGGATTTTGGATAGTAATCATAATGTTCTCCCAAATCAAAAATCTAAATTTGAATCTTGAAGCTGGAATGTACTGTCATGTGTATGAGTGTGACTGTAGATTGGGTTTGGATTGGTAATCTGATTTAGTGAACTCTTATAAACAGCTCATCTCTACACTTTACAAATCACTGTCGCACAGACTAGTGTTCTCCATCACGGTCTTCACTGTCCTGCTATGTAGTGATTTTCTGTGGTGTAGCATCCTCAGCTTCCGTGTCCAACAGCTCCTGTCCTTGATGGCTGACACCTTTCAGCTGCAGCCCACAAGTTATACTAACTGGCTTCCAACTGCCAAACTAACTCACCTCTCATCTAGCCTAAGCATAGACAGCATAGAAAACAAATCTCCCAACAGTTCTGATTGTTGCATCATGTAGCTATCACATGGACTATATAGGAAACTCCTCTCCCAGCTGTTCTCTAATTGTTGCATCACGTGACTATCGCACGACTGCATCGAGAACACTGCTTCCCAGTTTCTCCATTGTTGCATGTTATGAATCTGTTTTCTGGCAACGGGCGTGTTTGCAGAGCCGTTCGCTAGCAACGGTTGTCTCCGCTGGCTTCACAGTTCTTGCCTTGAGCAAATATGCCACAATACTTTTTGCTTTGTTAACGTGAGTAATTGTTTCAAAAACGTTTTTTATAAATTTGTTATAAAAAAATGGGGAAGTGATGAAACTTACGTTGATCATCAATTTGTGTGCTGTTTGATTTTGTCTGCTCAGGGTACCGTGTATGAAGTTAATTTAAAAATGTAATGATATGCATCTTAAAGTTATCACAAAAGTTTTGTCTAAGGGGTATTATGCAAAACGTAAATAGTTTTGCACCCATGGCATTTGAGAGCTGCCAGAGTAGCCAGTGCCACCTGGACTGGCTATTAGAGTATGTCATTGGGTCACAGTATGTTACATTAAGCACTTTTTGAGCAAAGTAATTGCATATACAAATTTAAATAATAAGTCATGTAACATGTTCATGATTTTCTAATTATTTCTGATATTCTGATTCTCAAAATGTGAGGCATGTCTTTGCTGAATTATTGTAAGTTTTATTCTTCTTGCAAACTGATATGCATTTTGAAAGTACATTGTATGAAGTTTTAGATTTCTGCAGATTGATTGAGTGGTTGGTTGTTGATATTCTGTTAAATTTGAATATACGTATAAGTAGGCAATTACGGTTCTGTATCAGTTGATTTTACTGTTCTTTTGGTAATCTGTGCACCTCATATTCAGAATTTGGGGCTTTGAGGTTTTTGATAATAACAGTCTTATATTCTGGGGTATAATAAATATTTATTCAGTTTTCTGATGTTTAGACTTCTTGTTCTTTAAATTTAAAAGTTGTTTGTTCACAGTTATATTGGAGAAGAAGAGCCGAAGCCTGAATTGTGTGTGTTAAAACATGGCAACAGAGTGTTTTAGAATCTCTGAAAAATGTTGTGTGTGTATTTATGTTTAGAGGGTTGAATGTACTGCAGGCAGTGCTTCTACGTAATAAAACATAAGATTCTTGGTCTTTAAGCATTTTAGAATGTTCTACCTTAGATATTTTGTCAATTCCTTTTGTAATATCCCAGGTAAGCAGCCAGGCAGTAAGCATTTTGGGAAACCTAACCGGTAGGTCAGTGTAGAGGAAGTTTAGCAATGTGAAAACAACTTACATTGACATCTTGCATGTACAGGTCACATAAATAGGCTTTACCATAAGTCCTGGTTGTTGTGTCTTGTCCCAGCTCCTTGAGTAAGAATTGAAGAGTCACACTCAGCTTCAAATTTAAATCATCCTTTTTCTGTTATAATGAAGCTTGGACCCTGAGGGAGACGTTTGTTTTGAAACAGCCTGTTATGAATGCACAGTTTCATTGTATATTGTCCTGAGTGAGAACAGAAGCAAATGAAAGGTGTCAGGGTTTATTTTGTGACATGATCATTGTTTATATCATATGGTGTTGAAAGGTAGGATGATTGGTGAATCTGAAAGTATTTGGAAAGGGCCGAAGGTTCCCTAATTGAAGTACTATCCCAGTGTTAGTTTGGAGGGAGTGGGTAAACCACAAAACACCTGTCAGGATAAGCAGTGTCTCAGCTGAGATTCAAACCAAGTACTCCCCAAATACAGTTGTAGAGCCTCGCCACTACACAAACCAGTGACTTTTGTTCTTAATTTTAAAGAAGTGTCGTCGGTGGTCAGCATGTAAATATGTCCCTTCCTTCACCCCTACATTCCCTCCCTCACATGTACCAAATTTTGTTTTGAAAATTATGGTTACCCTGTTTATATACCAGCTGCAATGAAATTATTGGTGATAGTTCCAAAAATGGTTAAATGAATGATCTTCTAAAAGAGTCATGTTAAATTGTATTAAATCATTGAGATCAGTTTTTGGTAAGATATGTCACCAAATCAGTTTGATATCTCTAACTTATATTACCATTTGTTTGATCCTTTGGAGAGTGAAGCAATTTTAATTGAAAAATGCTCTTTGAATAGTCACTTGTGCTTGATGCATGCAATCCAAGGGGAAACAAATAGTCATGACTCCATTTTCTGATATCAGAGCATATGGAATTCTCAGGCACCCGCCAAATTTAGAAGAGAATTGACCATTTATTTGAAATTACTTAACAAATTTGCGGTAGACCTGTGTGTAGTTCTTCCAGCCACCATTAGGAATGCTTCAATCTTGCCACATTGCAGACCATCAGCACACTATTTCACCTAAGAAGACTCCCTCGCAAGAACTAATTAGAAAATTTGTTACTTTGAAACATAAAATGGAGCTATGTAAAAGACTGTAAAAGGGTGAAAATTGGAAATTAGAACATTCCATTCCCCATACATACTGGATAATATGGAGTTTGCTATATAAAAATTATCATATGGAAGAATTGTAAGACTTACCCTAGCTCCAGTGATCCTGAGTGAGTGATGTTAGTGCCCGAGTTTGAAGGATTCCTTCAGTTAATGTTTCCTCAGTTATCCTTCAGAGAAAGCTCAAATGGAGTGTATCACAGCCTATTTCCTCATGAGACTCGGAGCTTATACCTAAGAAGAGATGATTGAAGTTTAAAATGATGTCTTATATCCATGGCATGAGTCAAGCACAAAGTCACATTACGACCGATGGTCAGTTGGTCAGTCAGTTTTGATGCCATGCCCCAACTGGGGCCCAAGGCCAGATTTTTGTTTCTGTCAAAGAGTTAGAGGACTTGTCGATGTTGGGTGCCCTCTCTGTTGAAAGAGGATGAGTATGGCACTAGTTTTTACACAGTGTGAATTTAAACTTATCTTATTTTTTACTCTGCTTATTACGCTTTGACATGAAAGAAACTTTACAAGTAAACTGTCTTCCTTGTCACAGCCATTTGTGTGTGAATTTGTAAGAAATTAGTGCATAGCATTTTGTATCTCAACTAAAGTTTATTCTTTAAACATGGTTCCAATGTGTGGCCACGTGCATTCTCCCATTGTTCAGTTTGTTCACATGGCTCCTGCTAACTCAGTGGCTGTGCACTTTGAGGAAACAAGGACATATGCCCTGGTCAGGGGCGTGGGGNCTACTGGCTTGTCTTAAACTTATTTTTTGGGGAGTTAGGTTAGTGTCCTTTCTTTACAAGATTATAGAGATAAATACAGGTTTCAACATAACTACTGAGGAATCTGCCCTGCATTTGGCTTCAGAAAAGGCAGGATTGTAATAATTATGTTAATCGTTTTACTGATTGTAAGCAGGCGTGTCAACTCCCCAGGCATGATGCATTAACGTGTTCCTCTAAGCCGTGATACTCAAGTCATGGTGACCAACTTCACTGGGAATCATGGAGCTAAGTTTTGTCTTCCTATTGCATTCTCTTGCTT